AGCAAATATTTCTTTTTAGGGTAACAAAGCTGAAATGTTTAATCCCAGGATACAAATCCATTTGTAGCCTATGATCTCCTGTAACACAATTTTGATTTAGCTTCCTGCTGGGCTTTATTTCTGAGTTTAAAATCTGTGGCTGTTGAGGCCTTCCAATTCATGGCCCTAGCTTTTGGGGGTATGGAGGGGTGTCCAGACAAACAGGCTGCAAGAAACTTCCTGATCACTTCCGATCTTAGGTGCAAAAGAGAGACCCATCCGTACCTCACATCCATCCTCTTTATTGGTCTGTACCAAATTCCCAAATAACAAAGGCCGGAGCAGAGACACCTGAATAAGGGCCTTAACCCATTTCCCATTTAGAAAAAGAAGTACAGCTCGATGCCAGTGTTCATTTAATTTTCAGCCGTCGAAAATTACTATATTTTGTAAATGGAAATACCACTACTAAAAACAGAATGCTGTAAATAAATGATGTCTTTTGTTTCTAAAGATTATTAATATACCAGAGCAATGCTGAAACAACAAAAGCGAGATATTTCATGGCAAACTTTGGGGGTCAGGTTAGAGGGTAATTTGTGAGTTATGTCAGGGTAAATGCTGCAGCTATAAGTGCCACCAGCGAAGATTCTGGGGGCAAATTAAATCTGTTGGATTTGTGTGCTGTTTGCAGCTTTTGATGGAAGCTGAGGAGAGCCTCTCTGTCCACTCGTGTTAATGGCACCTTTCGGATTGGGGGTGTGATAGGGAGGTTGCAGTGTGGGTTTTGCAGGGGCTGAGCACATCTCTAACCTTTATTGTCCAAGGAGAGGCCGGAGACCCTTGTTTCCCTAACAAGGCTCTCTGCAGCTATTACACCTATGACATGCTCTCTTCCCGGGCCCCCTTGGAGAGCTGGACGTGAGGGACAGAGTCACAGGGGCTTCTTGGAAATCCAAGATGGTTTACCGGCGCTGAAAACTAGATTCCTGCCCCAGCAGTCTGAGCCAGGCAAGCCTCTTACCTCCTTGTGCTTTGGGTCCCCAGTGATAGCGAGAGAAGAACAAAATCTAACTACTTCCTGGCTAGGGCAGTGGACGAAGAAAGTAGTAAGGAGGAAAATACTGTGCACAAGAGAAATGTCCTCGTGCACTTTCATTCCCTTCCTCCCCAAGTCCACCTTGCTGTCTCAGAGTATTTTATAATCCTCTGGTATCTTGCAGTTCTTAAACTCTGAAAACAACTTTGCAGAGAGAATCTAATCCATCAGCCCGAACAAGGAGAACAGTTGAATGCTCGGGGGAATTGGGATGTGGGGGCCACTCAGTGTCTCCCCCACACACCACACAGTGGAGGGGACCGGGCCAGCCCTATGGAACCCCGGTGGTGCCAAGAAGCACAGTTTGACAACCTCTGAGGTAACCCCAAGCCCCCTGTTTTCCAGATGAGGAAGCAGAAGCCCCAAGAAGTGAAAATTCAGATTTCTTGGCTTAATTTTGAGAGTTCTTTAGAGAAACATGATGAAGGAAGCTATTGGGTTTCTCTCTTTTATTTTCCTCTGCTTCCTTCCTTTCCTCTTTCTTTCTTTCTCTTTTTATTTCTTTTTCTACTGGAGATTGAACCCAGGGCCTTCACTCTGAGCTACATTCCCTGTCCCTTTTTTCTTCTTATATGTTGAGACAGGGTCTTGCTAAGTTTCCCGGGCTGGGCTTGAACTTGCAGTTTTCCAGGCTCAGCCTCATAGAGTCCTGGGATTACAGGTGTGTGGCACCAGGCCCAGCAACTGTTAGGTTTCTTGTCTCCACTGCAAGTAACAGGACCAACAGGGATGGCTGTGTGTGTGACTGGGTTCATGCCAATGACTGAGGACCCCTTGGGGTGGGAAAGGGAGGAGAACTGGCCAGGGTAGAGATTGAACTGCTCCAGGACTCCTGCAGCTCTGCTTGCCACATGCCCGTGAGTGCACCAGTTAGGACAGGAATTCAAGAGCCAGATGTCCTGGGTCTGCATCTTGGTTTTCACTGCTTCTTAGCTGTGTGACTTAGGTAATCACTTAACCTCTCTGTGCTTGCGTTGTCTCTTAATAAATGGGATGCTCTCAGTTGAAAACATTCTGATTTGAAAATATGTTGGATACCCTTAATCTAGTACCCAGCTCAGCACACTGTAGAGCATCAGTTGTTTCCAAGGACCCCACGTGGGGCTGACACGGAGCCGCTCGACATGGCAAGAGAGGACCACACCGTACACTGCTGCCCAGCAACAGATCAGAATGCAAAACCCACAGTGCAGTTTCTGCTGGTTGCCGTCCTCTTTTGCACGGTAGTGGAGTCAAAGTATCTCAAGACTGGGACAGTCCATAGTCCTTGGCTTCTAGTGCAGCTGGAAGAATTTGTTAAGAAAATCTACTTTGTAACTCTGTACCTGTCACCTAGTAATGCTCAATAAACACCTGCTCCAGCCCTTCTGGGATTCAAGGCCACAGACCATGGGTTTGCTCCCAGCTGCTGTCTCCCCGGCATCCTACAGGAATCACTTCTGGGGAGAGCCTGGTGGGTGGGGAGATGAGGGGACCAGTCAGCCCAGCACCTCTGCCTCCTCCCTGTAGTCTGATCTTGGTCATGGCAGAGCCAGGAGAGCCAGGGAGCCCCTGAAGAGTCACCATGGGGTTGCAGCCAGCACTGCCAAGGTCCCTCAGAGGCTGTGATGTCCAAGTGCTCCCTCATCGGTTCCCACGCACATGGTGTCCTCCAAGGGACCCAGACACAGAGGGGTGCATCAGTGGGGGGCTCCACTGGGGTCCACTGGCTGGGTCTGGGACGGGACAATAAATCTTCATTGAAGAGAAGGGCAAGGAAGTGACTTCAAATTGGCAGGAAGTGTTACAAAAGAAAACAACAGTGCCAGGGATTTAGCTCAGTGGTGCTGCCGCATGCCTTGCAAGCCCAAGCTCCCAAGCTCAATCCCTGGTACCAAAAACAACAACAACCAAACCCTGAGCCTGGAGCAGAATGCCCACAGCTGCAAGGGTTACACAGCTGTGTCACCTTGGTATTCACAGAGACCCTGGGCCAGCGGCACCCTGTGGCATCACGGGGAGCCTTCTAGAATGCTGCCGCTCAGCTCCTCACCCAGACCTGGTGTTTCAGAATCTGCTTTCTAACAAGGTCCCGTGTCATCTGTGTGCACATTAGTGTGTCAAGCTCTAGGGCAATGCACACGAGACTTCCATTCTAGTTTGGACTCTGCTGTATCCCAGCTGTCATTCAGCTTCCCTGTGCTTCACCTTCCTTACCTGCAAAGGGGCACTATGGAAGTGCCCACCTCATAAGGATGGGTGGCAGGGCGATGCAGACCAGGCCAGGTGTGTCTGAACCCCTATACAAACATAAGCGGTTATTGGGCATCACCAGGTACCCCGTTCAGCTTTTACTGGGGACCAGTGTGGGAGTGAGCAGCTGTCATTCAGTCATCATTGGTTCACCTATCGTGTGACCCAGGCACAGTGGCACACACCAGTGATCCCGGCGCTCTGGAAGGCTGAGGCAGGAGGATCGTAAGTTTGAGTCCAGCCTGGGCTACATAGCAAGACCCTGTCTCAAAACAAAAAGAAAACAACTATCAAGTACCTGCTCTGCACTGAGCTGGCTCTGAGCACATAAGGGACAGAACAGATAAGATCCCTGGCTTGCAGGGACCCGTAATCCAGAGGGGAGCTGGAGATCGTGTCACGATCCGTGAATCATTTAGTTATGTCATCCCTTGGTTGCTTACAAATGTGACAAGCACTGTGAGGAAGCCCCGGCTTGTTTTTAGTGTGAATAAGATAGGTGGTCAGGGAAGGCTTCTAGAAAGAAGTGATATGAGAACTGGAATCTCAAGGATGAGAATAGAGGCAGGGAAAGTGTAAAAGTATGTGTGTATGTGTGTGTGCGCGTGCACTCACATACATGTGCAACAAAACAGGGGAAAAGATCACACACAAATATGCATATGGAGGGTGCATTCCAGGCACAAGGAACAGAATGTGCAAATGTCCTGAGGCAGAGAGGAGAATTGGAATGGAAGAAAGACTGAGTACTGAGAGCAATGCCAAGCGGACATCAGGACCACCTGAGGGCGTGTGGCAACACACATCTGTGGGCCAAGCCCTGGAATTTCTGGGGCTGGAGAAATTGCATTTCTAACAAGTTCCCAGGTGATGCTGATGCAGCTGGTCTGGAGCCTCTGCAGACCATTAGTGCAGGCCCAGGAGGGACAAGGGGATCAGGATTGCAGCTGGGCCAGAGCACAGAGGGCCATGAGAGCCCCCATGGAATGGCAAGCCACCAGATCTCTGTAGGGGGCCGAGGGTGACACGAAATGTCACCGTGGCTGGGGGTTGGGCACCGATTGTAGAAGGACGTGCAGGGCCATGACTACAGCCATCTGGAAGAAAGATGGCGGTGTCTGGCCAGAGGTGGGGACAGAAATGGACCCCGAAGTTTTAAGGAGGTAGACTCAGTGGAACTTGGTGATTAGGTGGGGTCCCTGAATGCCAGACCAGGAGAGGGTGCAGGAGGACCCAAGTTTCTGGCTTGAGGAGTTAGTGGGTGGCAGCGCTCTTTCCTGAGCTTGGGGAACAGCTGCCCAGGGTGGCAATGGAGAAACACCAAGACGGGGAGCTCAGCCCGAAAGCACCAGCCTGCTGGGCTAGGAGCACAGCCAAGTATAGGCGTCATGCAGACTTAGATCTGGAGCACGAAGGCAGCTCCCTGCGGGGTCACTCAGGATGAGAAGGACCAGATGGGATGCTTAGTCTGCAGTCACTAGACTGGGTAGACTTTGAGGGGTGTGGGTGCTGAGCAGGGCTTCGGTGTCAGAATTTGAAGAGCACAGGCCCCTTCTAAGAGAAAGATCTGCAGCCACCATCAGAGCTTCAAGGGCATATAGCTCAGAGGTTAAGACCCTCAATGTGACACTGGGGAACAAGATGATGGTGCCTGGTCCTGCAAGGCCCTTACTGCCCTGTCTCCCTCCAGGCGCCTGGTGGATCGCCTGGAGAACATGAGGAAGAATGTGGCCGGGGACGGGGTGAACCGCTGCATCCTGTGTGGGGAACAGCTGGGGATGCTGGGCTCTGCCTGTGTCGTCTGTGAGGACTGCAAGAAGGTACCATCACCCTCTTGCCTCCATTCCTCCCCAGCACCTGTGGAGATGCCAAGCTGCTGCTTTAGGGGTCTGCACACCTCGGGGATCTGAAGAGTTGTTGGCAGGACATGGATTCGCCCTGCCCAATTGTCTCCCAAGGTCACCCTGATCCTAGTTCCTTCCTGGAATTCACTCTAACTCTTATGTTCCCTTTGAACTGACCTCTGACCAGGATGAACTTGGAGCCCAGGGTGGAGGAGCCTGTGAGTGTCCTGGCTGTGGCTTCCAAGTGTATTAGTCACCTTCCTATCACTGGACCCAGCCCCCAATACCCACAACTTAAATTGGGAGAGATCTTTTTGGCTCACGGTTTCCAGTGGGTTCAGTCCATGGTCAGCTGGCTCCAAGGCAGAAAAGCATGGTACCTGCAGAGGAAAGCTGCTCAACTCATAGCAGCCAGGAAGCAGAGAGAGAAGAAAGGAGCCAGGAAAGGAGATATTCCTCAAAAGGGACACCCCCTGTGGCTCATCTCTTCCAGCCAGCCCCTACTTCTCAACAACACATTCAGCCATGAGATCATTTAGGTATGATATTAATAGATCTCATTAATGGATTAATCCATTGATGAGTGTAGCTCTCCCATGATCAAGTCTCCTTCCAAAAGCCTTACCTCTTGTTACTTTTGTGGGACATTTTACATGCTTTTGACGTTGTCTTCTGAAGAGAATGGTACAAGAGACTCAGAAAGCCTCTCTCCAGCCACGTTCAAACCCTTGGACTTTGAGAGCATTCATGCTTGGAGGGAAGTCTCTGTGAGCTCTTGGCAATTCCCCCCATCCCCTCCCTAAACTGTCTGCACTTCACAGAGCTGGAGCAGAGGTACCACTGGCTTTCGGTGTGCCCGACTCCCAGCAAAGGAATTCCAGTGAGCGACCCAGATGGGGACAATCCCTTGGCATGTCCTATTCCATTTAGCATTTAGAATGAAATCTTGGGAAGAGTATATCTTTTCTGAAAAACATCTTCCGCAGTCAACAAGACAGTGGGAATTTGTGGTCTGGTATGTTTTCCTGCTTGTCCTGACAGCCAGGACACTCAGCCCTAAATATACTGCTCTGCCCCAGTCATACCTTGTGCCCAGATAGCTTCCTTCTGCAGGCAGAGGTGGGCTTCTCATCATGGTCAAGGTTGTCTTAGATCCTTTAGGGAAAGAAAGAAAAGGTAAATGAGTAAACAAAATGGATGCACGGTCTTTCCTCCTAAAAATGATACCAATCCCCTCCTCTGTGTGGTTGCTGAACACTCAGACCCGACAGGAACTCTCAGAGAATCCCTTCATCCATGCTTAGGAAGGACTCGAGTTCTTGTTATTGCAAATAAGAATCAGATCGGAACTGTATTCCAACTGGAACTGTATTGCTCACAGCAGAAAGGGTGAGGAAGGAAGGGGAGTGCTAATTCTTTCCATCCACCAAGAGATCCTGGGGCCCCACTGCCACCCCTCCAGGCCTCCCCAGCCCCCCACATCTCCTCTGAATGTGCCTTGTGCTGTGCTCTGTCCCCAGAACGTCTGCACCAAGTGTGGGGTGGAGACTTCCAACAACCGCCTGCACCCTGTGTGGCTCTGCAAAATCTGCATCGAGCAGAGGGAGGTGAGTGGACCGGGCTCATCTACCTTCCTTACCTGCTCCCTTTTCTTCCTGGGACCAGGAAAATGGGGTAGCATTGGAAGAGTGGGGGTTTTGGGTAGGGTCTTGTGTCTATTTTGATTTGTTTCTTTTTATTTCATTTTGTTTGAGACAGGGTCTCTCTATGTAGGTTAGACTGGCTTTGAATTCACTGTGGCCCAAATTGGCCTCAAGCTCATGGCACTCCTCCTGCCTCAGTCTCCTGAGTACTAGGATTACAGCTGTGTGCCACCACCCCAGCAGGCCTTGTACCTTAAGGGCTTGGTGAGAAAGGATCCGGTTCAGCTATGAACGGGCAGAATGACCTCCGAGTTTCTTTTATTGTCTTCTGCCTCTGTGACTCCCACTTCTTCCTCACCTTCCCTTCTTCTCTCCTAATTCATCACCCTCTGGCTTCCACTTCACCTCACCCCCATTTCGCACCTTCTGGGTCTTCCTCTCCAAACCTCTTGGCTTTCTCTTTCCCTCTATTCCACGTCGCCTGTCTTTGCTTTCCTCACACTGCCTCCTTCATTTGAGGCGTCTTCTTTCTGCATCCTCACCGCCTGCTCTCCTCTCTCCCTCGCCCTCTCAGCCTCCCGCACTTTCCACACCTTTGCCCTGCTCTTTCTCTTTACTTTCTTGGGCTTGTGCTTCCATGCAACCCTTCCTTTGCCAGACTTGTTTTTTGTTACTCATTTGACCCCGATTTCTGATTTTTTTCAACACTCACCCCCTGCTACCAATTCTTGCTTTTGATGTTGTTGAGGTTTTTTGTTTTTTGAGACAGGGTCTCACTATATAGTCCAGGCTGGCCTTGAACTCACTATGTAGCCCAAACTGGCCTTGAACTTCCGGCAATTCTCCTGCCTCAGCCTCCCGAGTGCTGGGATTATAGGTGTGCACCACCACTCCTGGCTGCTTCTTGCCTTTGAGACGGTTTTGATGACCACAACCTTCTGGGTATCAGAAGGGCTGGGCAGGACTCACTCCAGCAGGGTAATCAGAGGGATAAAGTCTGAAAAATTCTGAGCCATTTCCAAAGGTAGGGCAGGGTTGAGGGAAGCCACAGTGGATGGAGGTGCTCCCCAGTGGTAGCAACTGTTACCACCCTGAGATGGGGAGGGAGCCATCACCAGCCTGGGAAGTCAGTGTCCCCTATAGCGATGCTGTCACTGTCCAGCTAGCAGGGAGGGAGCCAAGGGCAGGAGTGCCACGACTGCAGCCTGGAGAACTCCTCTGGGGCTCTCCTTGACCAAATAGCCCTAAAGGCAGAGGTCAAGTGAGTCCACTTCTTGCAGCCCGTGCTGCTCAGCTTCCAGGCCCAAGCCAGGTGGGGACTGGTGCAGAATGGGTCTTACAGATGAAGGTGTTCGTTGATGTGCTGCCTCGAGGTGCTGCCAGGACAAAGGCCACAGGTCAGGAAGCTGCCTCTTTACCGCAACTACTATAGTGCCACCTCAAGAGATGGAAGACTCAAAGAAAAGAGAGATGGAAGACTAAGCTGGGGGTGGTGGTGCACACACCTGTGACCCCATGCTCTTAGGGGGCTGAGGCAGGAAGAGTGTGAGTTTGAGCCCAGCTGGAGCAACTTAGTGAGACCTGGTTTCAAAATTAAAAATAAAAACGGCTGTAGATATAGCTCAGTGTGAAGGTCCTGGGTTCAATCCCCAACACCCCAAAAATAAGATGGAAGACTTCTTGCTGTGAAGAGGAAGCAGAGCTAAAAACTGACTCACAAAGGCAAAAGCCATCATGGTTGGCTGCTGCATCTTCTATGCCTCTCTCCTCCTCAGGTATGGAAGCGTTCAGGAGCATGGTTCTTCAAAGGCTTCCCCAAACAGGTTCTCCCACAGCCCATGCCTATAAAGAAGACCAAACCCCAGCAGCCTATCACCAAGCCTGCTGGTCTAGAGCAGCCCACCCGTGAGCCCAAGCACACTGTTCCGGCTCCAGCACAAGGTAGGACCCTAAACAAATTCTTTTTTCAACAACCAAGGACAGATCCAAGCCAACTGGTCTACCTGAAGGATGCCTGACAGGGTGCCTGTGTCTATGCAGTTAGTGGACAGACAGTCGACCTCTGGATTGGGGTCTAGGACTTCTTTGTCCCCTTCATGCCTACCATAAACCTTTACCTGGAAGGTAGCACAGGAAACTCTCTGGCAAAGCCAGGCTGCCAAGAAACCTTCCTGTCATCCCTGGTGGAATGCTTAGAAATACGAAAGAAGGAGAAATTAAAATACAAACTGAGACAGCCTCCCTCCACTAAAATACACCCTGGAGCCTGGGGGAATTGGGACTTGCTGAGAAAGCCTTCTTGGCCTGCAGTGTTTCTTCAATCAGCTATAAGGAAGTCTGAAATTGGATTAAATAAAGTGAAAAATGAACTGAAATAAATTTAGTAAAAGAAAAATTATCACTGCTATTGATATTATCACTATTATACAGGTGTTACTATTAATTTTTAAAATGATATCTAAGAGAGGCAAAACAGCAATTTTTTTAAGAAACATGGTTTAATTGGATTAGATCTCTTGGACTGACCAGATAAAGCTCTCACAGTAATTTCAATTAACAATAAGCAATCAAATCTGGTCTCAGTGGCAACTCTGGACTTGAGCACAGATTGTAATTCTGAAAGCAAGGTTAGAGTTGAAGTTCTCAAAAACTGCAGCATCAGCTGGGCCTGGTGGCACATGCCTGTAATCCCAGCACTCTGAGAGGCTGAAGCAGGAGAATCGAAAGTTCAAGCCCAGGATGGGAAACCTTGTAACTTGGTGAGAGGCTGTGTCAAAATTTAAAAAAAAAATTTAGATAGAGATTTATCTCAGTGATGCCATGCCTGCCTCACAAGTGCAAGGTCCTGAGTTTAGTCCCCAGTACCGAAGAAACAATTTTTTTAAAGGCCCAAGGATGTAGCTCAATGTGAAGGGCTCGAGGTTAATCGTCAGTACTGGAAAAACAAAAACAAAACTGAGCACCCAGCTGTGTCTCATACGGTGATCTTTCAAGGTACCTAGCACAATGCATGGCACCCAGGAGGCATTCCACAAATGCTTTCTTCTGGTGAGGCATCAGCAATCTCCACTCCTCGAAGGAAGAGAGTCACCAGATGGTCAGCAGACATGCTGTGTCAGAGTAGTGCCCAGGTTCTGCCACTAGAGGACTCTCTTTTGGTCAAGCGTTACTCCCTCTTGCCTGCAAAGACTACAACAGAGCTATTCTTTTGTTTGTTTGTTTTAAGTCTGTGTATGCTCATCGGTGCTTGTGCATGCAAAGGAAATAAAATAAAACTGTAAGCATCAGCTAGATTAGGGGACGGTTGAGAGGGGACTTGATTTTTTACATGTTTTTAGGAGAGGAGAGGTAGAGGAGCCCCTTCATGGGCCTCGTAAGTAAATGCTCTCCACACACCATTATTCCCCTCCTCTCTCTCCAGGTGACACCGAGGACAGGAGGGCCCCAGGTCAGAAGCCAGGTGGGTTCTGCTGACTCTGTCTTCAGCTTTGGACAGGAGACCTTCTGCCCTATTCCTCCATGGCCCTTTCTCTGTTCAATCCCTGCTGCCCCCTGCAGGCCCTGACCCGGCCTCCACCCCTGGCCGAGGAAGCCATGGGCCTCCGGTACGCAGAGCCTCGGAGGCGCGCATGAGCTCAGCCACCCGGGACTCTGAGAGCTGGGACCATGGCCACAGTGGGAGTGCAGGAGATGCCAGCCGGAGCCCCGCAGGTGAGAGAGGTGACGAGGCCAGGTGGGCACTCGGAGAATCTGAAGGAGCTAAGAGAGGGAGGTTTTCATTTATTCATTCACTTGGAATGCGTGGAGCATCCTGTTCCAGACACTGGCTCAAGGCTATGATAGGGGATGGACAGGATTCATAAAATTTTGGTTATGATCTTTTCTTGCCATTAAAAGGAAAACATGTAGTTTTGCCTCACTTCCCCTCTGAAAGCTGGGGAGAATGTCCCTTGGCTTTGAGCAAGGTAAGGATGCCTCGTTCCAAAGATTCTTCTTCGCTTGGCAAGGGCTCTCAGCTGTCCAAGGAGACAGGTGGCTCAGCATGGCCAGGATGTCACTGACAGGTCCTGTCATCGTGCCAGTGCCTCTGTCTCACCAGGGCTGGGGTTAGAGCCCCCTGGCCAGAGTCCTTGGTCTGTGGACTTCAAAGGAAACATCTGCTGGGTTGGGAAATCCATGTCCCATAACCCCGGCCTGAGCAGCTTCATCGCTTTGCCAGCGAGGGGATGAGTCAGGTCTAAGTCACACTAGCCGAGCGCTGCAGTCTCATGGTGAGTCCTGGTCTTTTCTTCCTAAATTGTGGTTCCTGACTGAACATCTCAGTTCCCAGCAGGGCACGTGCCATCTGCCACCCAGACCCACCCCCGTGAACCCCTGGTTCGGATGGACAGGGAGAGATGGATTTCTAGGTCTGCAGTGCACAGAATGCTTACTGAATGCTTGCTGGGCATCAGACACTGTCCAGAAACCTATATTATATCCCTGAATCCTTGCCACAACCCCAAAGCCATGTCTGAGACTCATTATTCCCATTTTACACATGGAAAAACTGAGGCTTAGGGAGGCAAAGCCACCACCTGCCCTCAGTCACCAGCTGATATTTGGTTAAAATGAGAATTAAAGCCCAAAGCCTGTGCTTTTTGTTTGCTTTTCTCTTTCAGAAGTAAAGTTTTTATTGGAAATGCTTTTTTATTTTTCTGAACTTGCAATTGAAATTTTCCTTTATATTTTCCTCTTAGAGTTTTACAGTTCCAGCTTTTATGTTTGTGTTCTGTATCCACTTCTATATCTCACTATTTTGATCATTTTATGTGTACAGTTCAGCGGTACTTAGTACGCTCTCATTGTTGGAAACCACCCCACTGTCCGTCTCCAAAAGCTTTTCGTCATTCCAAACAGAAATTCTGTATCCGTGAAACAATGACACCCCATCTTCCTTTTACCTCTCCCCCTCCCAGTAACCACTACTCTTCTTTCTATATGAATTTGACTATTCTAGATGCCACATTTAAGTGGAATCATACAGTATTTGTGTCTGGCTTAACTTAGCATAACAACTTTGAGCTTTATCCACATTGTAATACGTGTCCAAATTTCCTCCCTCTTTAGGGTTATGCACTATTCCACCATCTGTATATACCATGTTACCTATCCATTCATCTGTTCGTGGGCATTTGGTTATTCCCACCTCTTGGCTGCTATGAATAGTGCACATGTATGGACATGATGTACAAATATATTTTCAAGTGTGTTGAGTACATACCTACATCAGATGGGAATTCTCTGTGTGTGATTTGTTCATGACCAACACGCTATTTTCCATGGTGTCTACACCACTATCCCATCCCCACCGACAATGCACAAGGTTTCCAATTTCTTTGCATGCTTACCAGCACTTGTTATTTTCTTGGGTTTTTTTCATTTGCTTTTCGTCTTGTTTTTAAATAACACCATTCCTGTGGGTGTGAAGTGGCCTCACTGTGTTCCTGTAGACTCGGGTGTCTTGTCCTGTTGGAGGGATGTTGAACGCCTTACCACACGCCTATCAGCCCTTTGCATATTTTCTTTACAGAAATATGTACTTGAATCCCTGACCCATTTCTCTAAGCTGGGTTGTTCTTGAGTTATAGGGGTTCTTTATACACTCTGGATATTAATGCCTGAGCAGCCGTACAGCTCATGAATACTTTCACCCTCTCTGTGAGTTGCTGTCCCTCTTTGATAGCAGTGTCACTTGATGCACAGAAGTGTTTGACTGATGAAGTCCAATTTATCTACTTTTCCTTTTGCTTCCCACATTTTTAGTGTCATAGCTAAGCCATCATTGCCATAACAACTTCCTTTTGTATTTTCTTTTAAAATCTTTATAGCTTTTGCTGTTATGTTTGGGTCTTTGATCCACTTTGAGTTAATTTTTGTATATCAAATCCTGTCTTTAACCTCTACATTATTTTGCCTCCTGAGGGAAAAGACGCTCAGGACATTCCTGAGCCAGACTCAGGACTCCTGTCCCTCTGGGCAGGTGCTGTTATGCCCATTTGACAGATGAGGAAACTGAGGCCCAGAGTGGATAGATCACTAGTGAAAAGTCTCACAGGCAGAAGGAAGGAAGGTCACAGAGCCTGTGCTTTCTAGCCAGCAGGCTATGGCTGGGATTTGCCTGCAGAGCCTGAATATTAAAAAGGTGTGATGGTGCAGGCCTGTAATCCCAGCTACCCTGGAGGCAGAGGCAGGAGGGTCTCAAGTTTGACACCAGCCTGGGTAACTAAGGCCCAGAACACGGGAGTGGGTGTGTGTGTGCACGCTCATATGTGCACGCTCGTGTGTGCCACGTGAATCACGACTCCTATTTGCTGTCTTCCCCTTGCAGGTTTGAGACGCACCAATTCAGTGCAGGCCTCCCGCCCCTCCCCGGCCTCGGGGCCCAGCCCAGCACCTCCCCAGCCAGGGCCACCAGGTACCTGCCCCACCCACCTGCATGTCCCCAGTCCCTCCAGTCTGCCATTCACCCAGAA